ATATATATATATATGGAGGTATACATCTATCTCCTATTGAGTCACACTGACATTCACGAACATGCACGCCCATATGCAAGGATAACATAACAGTTTATCAATAGAACTGACTGAAAATATTGATGCATTATCATCAAAATAAATTCAATGTGTGATCTTTGATGATATTTTTAGTAGGAAAAAAGAATTCTAAAGGTTAATAAATCTTATCACAAAGTGCAAAGTAAGTACAAACTTATAAAAAAAAATAATTTTTTACTAGCTCAAATTTTGAAAAAATATTGATGAGGAGACTTCAGTAAAATTTTTCTATTTTTGTAACACAAATAATTATCAATATTGACCTTGCGTAGATCGATAGACGAAAAGGTTGACTATTTGCTCATTAAATCATGACTGAGAAAATACATTGTTTTTAAAGTGGATTAGGTTCATCTTCAAAACTCATAATATATCCAAGACGAAAAATGACTGAAATTTCTAATTGACTTTATAAAAAGATAGAGCGTTGTGGACTCTAAATAAGGCTAAAACTAGAGGATTTTCTCTGCTTTTGTTTTTAAGTTATTCAAAAAATGCTCACGATCATTTAACTTTGAAATGGATTATAGTACAAGAACTGTTGGGACAATTCTTCAGATCAGAACTCATACAGAACTGTTGTAGATCTAATATTACATGAAACATAGCTGCACTTTATTAACAATGATCTTATATGAAGTTGATAGGCGAATATGCTAGTCTAATGACCTTCATGGAGGCTGTAACATCCCTTCACTGTTATACAAGGTTCTAAAGCACCAAAATTTGACGAAAAAACAATTCTGTTTTTGACGTTCGACGCATCGTGAGCTACTCTGGAAAGTATTGTATTTTATTTCTCGTTTCAAAAGGATCACCGAATCTGCAAGTTCGTTGTAGATCTGCTTCTCCAAATAGAAAAATTTCATCATCCTTGATGAGTATTTCAATATATTTAGATAGTCGTTTCAAACGACGAAAATTGGAAAAGTTAAATCAACTTTAGTTCGATCGATATGAAAATCTTCGAATTCGGTTGTACTCTTTATGGTTTTGATAATAATCATTGTGTAGACTTCATTTAACGTTCTTCTTATTGTGACATCTATGCTTTGACTTTCCGTGCATGAATTACTGATTAATTTCATCGTAATTTGAGAAAGATCATTTTGTTATATTGCAATGATACTTTACTCTCGATGATCATGAGTCGGTTTGGAGATGGAACTCACAGATCCTTGTTGGAAGTTTTCTGTATTACACAATACTACTAGTTTTTTTTATACGAACTGTTTTAGAACATGATGACATCGTACTCTCATACAAAACGCCGTTTATTATGAAGTTGTTTTCTCCATGATATTTTTGTTCTTATCGCTCGAACCTTGTGTTTTTATTTTTTACTCGATAGTGACAGTATATATATATATCGTCCCGTGAGAATTCTATTCTCTATTTCTACCCTGCCTTGTCATAGTTCTATTCTTTATTATTACATCGCCTTGTGTTGTTGACATAAAGAAAACAAAGATAAACATGAATAGTGATGAGATATTACCGAAGATGCTTGATGCAGTAGTTGTCGGTGCAGGTTTTTCAGGACTTTACATGTTATATTGCTTACGTGAACAAGGTTTTTCAGCAAAAATTCTTGAGGCTGGTGATGGTATTGGTGGCACATGGTATTGGAATCGTTATCCAGGCGCTCGTTGTGACGTTGAAAGCATACAATACTCATATTTATTCTCGGAAGAATTAGAAAAAGAATGGAAATGGTCGGAATTATTCGCTTCGCAGCCGGAAATCTTACGTTATCTCAATTATGTTGTTGATAAATTTGATCTTCGTAAGGATATTCAACTCGGTACTCGAGTGAATGCGGCATTTTTCGATGAGACTCATTCACGTTGGGAAATACAGACAAATCAAAGAGATCGACTCTTCGCCAAATTTTGTATCATGGCCACCGGTTGTGTCTCGGCAACAAATATTCCACAAATAAAAGGACTTGATGTCTTCAATGGTAATCACTATCATACAAGTAGATGGCCACATAATAATATTTGCTTTAATGGACGCCGTGTGGCCGTCATTGGCACTGGTTCATCTGGCATACAATTGATTCCGATCATCGCTGAACAAGCAGATCATGTCTTTGTATTTCAACGAACACCAAATTTCAGTATTCCAGCTCGCAATGGCCCTCTCAATGCTGAATACGAACAAAGTTTGAAATCGAATTATGCAGAGTTTCGAAGGCAGGCCTTCGAAACGCCGTTTGGAGTGATAGTCAAAGACTTTAGGAATATCTCAGCAATGGATATCGCACCAGAGGAACGGCAAGATGAATTCGAGAAAAATTGGCAAAAGGGCGGTGCTAGTTTTCTATTGAGCTTCAATGATCTCATAATCAACAAGGAATCTAACGATGCAGCAGCTGAATTCGTACGCACCAAGATCCGTGAAACTGTCAAAAATCCTGAAGTGGCTGAGGCTTTGATTCCACAGAATTATCCAATAGGTACCAAGCGTCTCTGCGCCGACAACAACTACTTTCAGACTTTTAATCGTGACAATGTGACGTTAGTTGATCTTCAAAAAGGATCGATCGATGAAATAACACCTAATGGTATTCGTATTAAGGAGAAAATCTACGAAGTGGATGATATTGTTTTTGCGACTGGATTTGATGCAATGACTGGAGCTTTACTGCAAATTGATATTCGTGGTCGTTCTGACAAGACACTTCGAGACAAATGGGCAGAAGGACCTCGCACCTATCTTGGTTTGATGGTGGCCAATTTTCCGAATTTATTCATTATCACCGGTCCTGGTAGTCCATCGGTACTGACCAATATGCCTCGTGCTATCGAGCAACATGTCGATTGGATAGCTGAATGTCTCAACTATCTTCGTACGCATCATTACGATACGATCGAACCGCAGGTAGAAGCAGAAAATGCCTGGCTCCGTCATGTTCATGAAGTCGCCAATTCAACTCTCTTTCCTCTAGCGAATTCATGGTACGTTGGAGCAAATATCGATGGTAAACCCAGAGTTTTCATGCCGTACATAGGCGGTCTCAATGTGTATAGACAAAAATGCCAAGACATTGTCGACAATGGCTATGAAGGTTTTATATGTGCAAAAGACATTCGTTAAATCGAATGGCTGAAAAATCGTTAAAATCACTACCAACAACCATTTTGTTTTAAATAACATGTTGTTAACCCCATGTAAAAATAAAAAGACATTCAACGAAATGATTGTTGAAATTAACGCCAAAAATTGCGTTTAAGAATAAATTAATGAAGTTTCACGAAGAAACTTTCATGAACTTTCGTTATATTTCGGAAATTCGTAAAAACGCGTTAAATTTTTCACGGTTTTGGATGCATGATTGTCTTTTTAACGGTAACACAAAAAATGATCATACTACTGTGTAGTCAACAATGAAATTCATCTATGTAGAGTTAGGTAGTCATAGTTGGTGATATTTAGATTAAAAATGTGGAGAAAAACCTGATATGCATCAGCTTGAGTATTTATCGAGGAAAAACGCGTTAAACGATCCTTTCTTTAACGAAAGAAAACGAGTTAAATTTTTGCGCATTTAACGCGTTTTTAGGGTCAGAAAGGTAACATTAAATTTTGTTAAATCATTAACTTTTTAACGAATTTTCACGTCACAAAACTTCGTTAAATTGCAAAAAATTTTTACATGGGTAAATTCGAAACAGAATTTAGAAATGTGTAGTGTACAGAAAACAATCTCATGTAGAAATATTTTCAGTGCAAGCTCTACAAGATCGTCATCCAAAGCATGTTGAACTTGTTCTAATCACCAATGAAAAACTGTTTTAAATCGTTTACATTCTACAACGCAGTCGCAAGAATAGATAAATTAAAAAACTGATTCAAATCTCCTAAATTCCAAAAGTCTAAAGTGTAAAAAAGCTACGAAGTCTGAAATACTCATTAATAGTAAAAAACAACAAAAGAAACATAATTAAAAATTCTGTTTTATCTTTCTCATAATTCAAGAGTGCGCCGTGATCGTTATATATTTCAACACTCTCCATTAAATCATTTATCGATTGCTGAACTTTGTCAAAAAATTATATGTACGAGGAATCAGGACATCATTCTAAGTTTCGATCAGCGAGAACTCCAAAGAATATTGATGAAAGCCATGTAATAAAAATTGAAAATTCATTATAGCCTCATAAAAATTCATAATTTGGTTTTTAGTCAAATTACATGGTGATCTCTTAATAGTATACGACCGAACAGTTCACTCAGAATCAGTTTTGATCAATGTGAATTTGTGCTTTCATACAGAAAATTATATTGTTTGTTAGATACTGATCAAAAAGGTCAATAGATGTTCTTCAATATTTCATGAACATTCTCTGCCACTAGTTAGCAATAGATATGCATATAAAGATATACAGATTGAGCTCAGTAGCTGCTGTTTCGAGAATGAAGACAATTCTATTCAGGCATTAGATGTTCAGTATTGTTTATAGTCCAGAATTTTTTGTTTCAGAAAACGAATTCTCGTTGATCAAAACTGATTCTGGATGAACTATCCAATCATTTACTATTGACAAATCACCACGTAATTTGACTAAAAAAACCATGAATTTTTATGAAGCTATGATAAGTTTTCTCACTTTTTATCATAATAGCATGACATTTCGATGGAAATGTAATCAAAAGTAAGGAAAAACATTCTACCTTGAACTATAGATTTGAGATCCCTCTATCTAAATCAAAATTTCATCTAATTATTTTTTATGTGCCGTTCTCTTAAGAGGAGATCGTTGAAAGTGATTAATCGTTTTTTTTGAGTTCGGACTCTATACAGAGCGAGATTCCAGTGAAATATGCAAAAAAAATCCAAAGGACAACTGTTCGTAGGGTTTATTTCCAGAGTTGTAGGTACTGTACTATAATTTTAATCTAAAGCACAGTATGCACCTAAAAATCAAATGATGGTGTTTCGACCTGAAATATTGTACACAAATAGATCTGCCTGTAATTAGAATACTCTGAAAATTTTAGCTCACAAGAGTTTTTTTTTGTTCACGAGCTATTTAAATTTCAGAAAAATTGAATGTACTGAGAAATGTCGAAAGGAAAAATATCGAAAGAAAAAATGTCGAAAGCAAAATGTCGAAAGTAAAAATGTCGAAAAGTAAAAATGTCGAAACGAAAAATGTCGAAAACTTAAAATGTCGAAAACTTAAAATGTCGAAAGAAAAAATGTCGAAAAGTTTGAACACGACAAGGCTAAAATCTTGGTAGAGTTGATGTTGCAAAAATGGTCGAATGAAAATTGGCCGATCTGACAAATAATCAAAGAGCATGAGGCGCAACTGTTAATCAAATTAATAGCATGTACAATACAAAATTTTCCCATAGAATATAGAGAGGGATAAATTAATCACCGCTTCCTCTTGGACAAAAAAAGAACAGTTATAATGATTAGAAGTTAAGCTAAGTAAGTCTAATTATCAGACTAATTGATCAAAGAAATGACAAGAGTATACACAAGGATATCTAGTTTTATAAATACTGTGATGTGTCATATTTTAAACACTCATTCTTACTCTTATAAAACGATGCATAAGGATGTGGATGATTATCAGACCTGCACGCACACCCATAGCCTTGAAAACCTAGTTTCGCCCATTTTTTCTTTCTCTGACAACATTAACTCTACTAAGATCTTATTGTTGCCGTCTTCAAACTTTTCGACATTTTTACTTTTCGACATTTTTCCTTTCGACGTTTTTCCTTTTCGACATTTTTACTTTCGATATTTTTACTTTTCGACATTTTTCCTTTCGACATTTTTTTTTTCGACATTAATCAGGCATACCGAAAAATTACTTATATTCCAAACAACATGTACCTCATCTTTTTTCTTTTTTTGTACAGTTAATATATCGCAAAGAAAAAAATTCTTGTGAGCTTAAATTATCAGAGCATTCTAGTTACAGATAAATCTATTTGTGCGCAACATTTCAGATCGAAATACCATCATTTGATGTCTAGATGCATATCGTACCTTAGATTAAAATTATAGTACAATAGCTATAACTCTGGAGGTAAGGTCAAAGGGTAGTTATCCTTTGCATTTTTTTTCATATCTCTCTAGAATCTCGCTTATGCGCAGAATTCGAAGTCAAAAACTATTAATTACTTTCAACGACTCTTCCGTTAGATGAAGAAGACAGCAGGTGAATACCTTCATTGCTACTTATAAAATCTTTTATTTTCCTCAATATTCTTGCTTTCTATATCTATATAATGATTTGAACAGCTGCATTAATTTAGCTAAGAGCTGAACCAAGCCGTTCTCTGTTGGATAACTCTGTATTGAAGAATTGAAATTAAAATGAATATCATTGACATAAATTCATTATGCAATAATAGTAGTCGTCGTATTTTATTTCCTTATTTTTAATGTTAATATTTTCAAAAAGCGATTCTCATTTAAACAGCAGATCAACTTTATATCGTTTTATTTTAAGATACTTTAATAGAAAATATTCATTTCAAAATCTGCTAAATAATCTATTCTAACTGGTTGCTAGTGTCTCTTCTATTTCCGTTCTTGATTAACGAAAAAGCAAAAATTTCTTTTACTATTATCTTCTAACGATTCATTTATCTGAAAATAATTACATTTAATTGAATTGATATCTATTCTAGTAGGAACTTAAGACAGTTTGTATATATTGTCTTCAATGTACGTTATTCTTTTTTGCAAAAATATTTTGATTTTATGATTTAAATATGAGTAATAGAAAAATTAACGAGATGACAAATGACAGATAATGTTGAACTCGTTGACATGACAAATTTGATTTTAATTGAGAAAAAGTGACATTACGGTAATATTTTGTTTTATTCATATGTCTATTATCTTAACAATGTGTCTGAAGAAAGAATAAAATCAGTATTATTTTTTTAATGCAATGTTAACTTTGTTAATAAGTGCTTTAGACACGTAACAAAGACGTAGAAGAGAAATTTCCTAGTGAAAAAAAACTAAAATTAGTGCTAAAAAACAGCTTCTAGTGCCACTTATGGAAAACATAAGATCGACTACAAAATTTTTATTCTAGTATATAAGCAATTCAATTCTTTTACGCTTTGTGCTTTGTCATATACTTATTGTAAAGTAAGTGACTTTATTTTCTTTTTTTGACATCTTATTTTGTACTCAGCGATACCACTTTGTTTTTTTTTCTGTGAATAATCTTCAATAAATAAGATATGAATTTTTCATGTTTCTGAAGTTAACTGATATGAATATGTCCAAATATGATTTTATCCTTTATAAAAATCTTCAAAAAAAATTGTATTGTCAACATTGTAATAATAACTGAGCTTCATGAATGCTAATTATGTTCTTTTTTTCAAAGTCTTCTCTTTATTTTAAATTCGAAAGCTTCTGAATATTTTCTTTTTGAACAGTTTTTCATAGGATAAAAATAGAGATCTATTGTTTCACATTTGTTGTCAAAGATAGAATGAAGGTATGTTGAATCGTATTTTACATATTTCACGATAAGTTTTCTGATGTCCTTCGATTAATCTTTTTTAAAATTGTTGTCAAAATGAATTTGAATTAAAAAGTAAGAAAAAATGTAAATTTTCTTGAAAGTGTTACCTGACCACTTTGAATATAATGTCCACAACTGCTGCTTGACTGTAACTAACTATTTGAGTTTTAGTAGATCTTGGAGAAGTGGTCTTACAGCACTTCTATAAATATGAAACGCATTGATGTGACTTCGTGCGATACTTTGTTTTTCAAATGATTCGTCTAAATCCTTCAAGAGAGTCTGTAAGACATAATTCAATCTATCTTGATTTTGATTTTTCAACGATGAAAAGTACAAATTTCAGTTTTATTTCTACGAAATAGTTATTTCAGAACAAAGTGTTCATATTTTCTGAGGATATATAAACAATAGCTCAAAATAATGGCCGCAAGAAGATCATACGGTAGACAGTAGAAAGAATATAGAAGGGTTAAGAGAATGAACAGCACGCAAAGACAAATAGTAAAGAAATAAAGAGCGAACGATGCAGTGAGGAAGTGCTTGTAATTTAAAAGTATTTTTAGATTATTCATTAAAATATATTTTATGTTTTTCCAAGCCTTAAAAGAACAAATTTAATGAGTTTGATAAATTAAAAAATTATGGTTATTAAATAGAAAAAGAGAACGATCGGTTTCGAGTGAGAAAATTATATTCTCATCTTCGATCAAAGTCAAATATACGTATTTTCCGGTATGTCTATTTTGTGTGATATATATATGTTGATCAATAAAAGCTTTTATTTTTATTTTGAGTACTTGCAAGCCTAATATACTGAGTTTGCCTTTTCCATATGAATATTCTTTGTTGCAGATAATTAATGTTTCAAAAAATCGATAGTGTTTCAAATAGGATTAAAATATAAGTCATGGACAAATTGACCGAAAATTATGTTTTTTCTTAGATCTATTTTTGGATACATTAATATTTAGCCCTTTGGCTACCGATATAAAAAAGAGAGAAAAAGCTCTTTAGGACATCACTATAGTTACATAATTTTGATCCAATTTTATAGATTTATGAGATAATGTTAAGTCTTTTGTGTGATATAGAATTCTTTGAAACAGTTAGTAATCAACAGTCCGACATCGCATTCAGTACATTGGTAACGTATGTTGCTCCATTTCTTCACACATCGTTCAGTATTGCTACAAACATAACATCTTCTTTGAGAAGTCTGGCTGCTTTCATTTGGAGGAATTAGAGATGGAAATGTTTGACTGCCAATCGCAATGGATGAACACTCAATAGTCTGCCAACATGTGACTTTGTGGAGATGCACTTTGCAATGAGTTCTCGAATAAGAAGAAAGAAAACAAAAGATAACTATATGTACAACGAACAGACTGTTTGCTATACACATTCTTTTCTAAGTCACGATTCTAGAACATACATTTATGAAATGATGGTATCACAGACTTCAGCTGCCCGATGCTTGTTTCTATGCAAGATAATCTAAAAAATATGTACTACGATTGGTTGTATTAGTTTTAGACGTTGATAAAGTCCATGACATTCATAAACGGTGGGGGGTAGCCAAAGGATTAATAATATTTTTAGTAAAAATCTTTTTCTAGGACACAATCGCAAATATGGCCTATATTTCTTGAGAAGAAATGTCAAAGTCACATATAAATTCATTGATATAAAAAACTTCAGTCTTTTGTTAATGTCTGACATATTTATTTAATAGGTCTCGAAACGAACTGTCCGACTCGAACTTTATTTCTTTTTTCAAAGATTTTTTACTTAAGAAAAATGAGAAAAAAAATCTGATTTTATTCTGATTCTTTTATCAAAATTTTTTTTACCTGGATTATGCGCTTCACAACTGATAACACAATCAGGAATCTTTATTATGCGAATATTTTCGAAGTTTCATTTAGCCAATCAATAAAAGCAGAGCATTTATTCGATTCGATGACATTCCTCATCAATACATAAAACCTAATGCACTATCAATTGTATTCAGTGGAATGAGTGTTATTGAAGTAAAACAGTGTTAACTGTGTATTTAAATTAACAGTGTAACTAAATGTAGTAACCAATTTGATTCTTTGAAACTGATCAGTGGATTTTTTACTCGTGAAAGCGTTTTTGTTAATAAATAATAGTCTTCAAGAAATTGCGGTGCTCACGAATGCATCTTACGCTTTCAGCTCAATAAGTCATTCGACTTATTTCTTATGCTGTTTTTTTAAGAATTAAAACTGTATAATTCTATTCAACCCGTGAACACTATGATAATAAACTTTTTACAATGTTTTAATAAATGACTGCGAGGATTGTGGAGTTTCATCAAATAAAAATCATGTTTGTAAAAGAAATATTCTTTTTATAGCGTCATCCTACATTGAGCGATGACATATTCTAGTAGTATAGAAGTCAGACCAGACAAACATCATTAATTCTCTACCAGATACGAATCGAGCGGGATCATCAACAAGTAGTCCAGTTTTGAGGTCCGTTATTTAGTCGGCATGAATCTACATATGAAAAACTATTGGAAACACGATTTTATGACAAATTGTTGCAAATTTATTTTCAACATTATATGACGTAAAAAACGTGACATCTGAATTATGTAATAATGCACCGTTGTCGGTCGCAAATAAAAGTATGTTTTTCTACGTATTATAGAAAAGTAAATTGTGTCGAATACAACTAATGTGCATTACTGGAACAGCATGGTTCTCGTCATTAGTGAGCATTTGTATTCATACATAAAGCTCTCGACTCATTAAATTCGAAGTCTTCTGTTATGTTTTGTTATTGACAAGCTAGAGAGGAATATTTTATTACGCCATTGAAAAAAGTCGTACTCTTTCTTAATCATAATGACAGATTTTAATGTCGATGTTTTTATTCAATCCAACGTTAGTACATGAATTTGTTTTACTTATTCGGTACTCCCTCCTACAATGGAAAAGTAATGGATAGCATACCAGTACCAAAAACCAACGAATCATTGGTAAGATCAATGTTCTTGGAATCATACAGCCAATCAGATCTTAAAAGCTTGGTACGATTTATTATAATATTATTTTTTCTAAAGTATAGTATTAACCACTGACAACATTTATTGTTCCATATAGGTAAGGATACCTGGAATTCATGTCGAATGTAATATTCTATGAGCTTAATTGTTAGTCCCTAGATTGCATAATTAAATAAGGTTACCCACGAAGAAACGATGTGTAAAAAGAAGAATAATTGACTATGGATTCAGGATGTTTTTTAATATCTTTGACATTTTGTATAGAAATATAGTTAAATATATTTTTACGAGAAGAAATGCATTCTCCAAGATAGTATATCTACTATATAGAACATATTTGAATACGTATCTTTAGGTAAGTTTTTTTTTAGTGGGAAATGTGGTCTTCTGTGTTGAAAATATGTGCGAATTAGTAAAGGACAGTGCATGAACGGACGGCAGCTTTAAGTAATAGACAATGGTATTTTACTGTATATATGTTTCTATTTGAATAAGATCTCTTTATATACGATAAGTTTGGATGTGGATCGCATTAGTTACATCCTATGGTTGTGGAAACGAGTTTTTCGTAAAGAAAATCTGAAACATGTCTTCAGAATGTTGTGCAAACGGCCACTAAAATGTCATCAAGACACATTTTTTGATAAAAACATACATTTACAATTAACTATTATTTCCTATTAGTTTTTGTTTGTGGCTTGTCCGATTCGATGCAGACATACTGCTAAGACGATCGAACCAAAATACTATCTATATCGAACTTAGGTATTAACATGTACTTAAATATCACAAAAAAATCAATCAGTTGTAGAAATTATTAAGAAAAAATCGATTGTCAAACAAGGTCTTTTAAATTATCTTTTGTTGGGTTTATTTAAGGAAGACTGACAATGATAAAATTTCATTAACGCACGTAGGATCAGTAAGACCGTGCGCAAAAGCCAAATAAACGTTGTTCTAATTATTACGCTTGCCTTTATTGATTAGTTCTTTCGTTAGTTGTTTCTTAAGAGATCATGAATTTTTCAAGTATATCTCGATATATAGCGATCATTAATGCATCTGAGTGAGTTTATGATACGTGCTAATGGTTACACAAATGAAAAACTTTTAATGATGAAAGCTTCTCAACAAATTGTCATTGATACAAGTGCTTATCAAAAAGCCTTGTCTTTGATACTATTGATAGAAGTCTAACGGTGCCATGATAAACTGTCCGGGAGATATAAACAATTCGCCTATATACCTAAAACTATGTTTGACATATTTGAGAGATCGTACCAGAATCAATTGTCAACTTTTTACGTTAACATCAAATGTTCAAACTTTTCTATTCGGCATTTATATATAGTATATGTATACAGTATATCAATTTAATTGCCCTTTTCTCCGGTGAAGATCCTATGCATTCCAATTAGAATAAAAAGAAAAACAAAACCTCTTAAGAGAATCTTCACTTTAGACCGTACTTTGAGCATTGGAGTTGGTTTCTGACATATAAAAAAGGCTAGATTGTACACTCTTTTCTTTAAATCATGTTGCTATGTTTCAAAGAACAAAACTGACATAGGTTTCAATTTGACCATCGAGTTTTCTGAAAAAAATTTTAGTCCAAAAAAAGAATCAGGTAAGCATTTTAGCTGAAGAAGAATTTTAATTCATTTTTAGCACATTGTTTGTAAAATTTTTTGAAAACGAAATATTCGTTTTGCTGTATTTTATCGAAACCTATTGTCTCTAAAATTTCAGAATTTTTCCTATGACTATTTTTTTTTGTTCAGAAACGTGAGTGAAGCTTTTTATTTTTATTTTTTTAGTTTAATTATTGCTTAAACAGTCATTTTAGACCATCGTTGTGTATTACACAGAATTCTCGAATTCATTTCGAAGAAATCTTATAAAATGTTATCAGCAGCAACGGTTCTCAGCATATTCAATTGGTGTGCAGTTTTCATATGTATTCTCGTATTTTTATCAATTTTTTTAATTATATACAAATGTCGTCAAGAATTACGTGATGCATCTTTATTATTAACATGTAATAGTTGTTTTGCCACGTTATTAACATGTGTTACAATGTGGATAATGACTAGTTCAAACTTATTTACTGGATTTTTACTTTATAATATGAAATTTTGTGTTGCTTGGGGTGTATTCTATGATATATTTGAATGTGCAATTTATTTTAGTTATTGTTTACAAGCATTTTATCGTTTATGTCGTATTGTTTTCTATACAAAGAAATTTTTGACATCCTTTTCTTTAAATTTTATATTGATTATTTGTCAATGGCTGTTGATATTCGCTTTTCTTATACCACCAGGTTTTATCAATTGGTATGCTCGTTTACCAACAGAAAACTTTTGTCTTATTCCTTATACATCTGTCATTCCAGAAATCTATCATATTCTTGTTTTATATCTTATTCCATTAATTTGTATTGGAACAATATATATATGGATAACTAGATTTATGCGTCAAACCTCTCAAGCATCGACACTTGTCATTGCAGTTATACAACGACAACGAAATCAAAGGGATTTAACAGTTATTAAACGTATTATAATGCTGATAGGAGTATTAATTGTATTACGTTTTCCAACAATTATTTTTATGATATATGCAATTATTGTTGGACACACATACTCATTAACATATGGAATAGTTGGCGTTACTACATCAACATGTTTGATATTTATTGGATTTTCAACAATTTATACGACACCACAATTACGAAAACGAATTCACGATTATTTTGTTCATGGAAATAATCGAGTACAATCTGAACGAATAGCAATGAATCAAGTAGGTGCTCCTATATCAGTGATTGATGCTATCAATACCGCTCACAAAACCAAACAAGAGGTGAGTACAACAGCAAAAAACATTCCGTAATTTTATCTCCTTTAATCGTAAACTTATAATGTTGTTTTAAACTGATGAATATTTCTTAACCATTTTTGGTTAAGTACAGTTTGTTAGAACGCGTATTATAACTTATTTAATTATTTATTTTTTTCGAATTATTTTAACTTTCTTTATTTTTTCTTTCTTTTCATGAATGATTTATATGTTGTATTTATTTCTCGTGCAATGGACCTACTTTGAAGTCAATAAATAATGAACATATTTGTCGTCATTAATCTTTGATTTTCTTTTATCTATTTAAATTATTAATTTTTTTAAGAATAAAATAAGTCTAGTTATTCGATTAATGTTTGTTCTCATTTATCTCAGACTTACATACTCTTACTTGATTTTTACTATAAAGTGCAAATAAATCTAAAATCAGTATTGGTTTACTCAAGAAAATAAACATGTCACTTTTTGTACAAAATTGGTCTTAGAAACATTGTGCTTTATATTCTATATAGTTTGTTTCCTTGGTGCAATTTTTTGGCATCAAAATTTTTAATATTGAAAAATAAGTAACTTTTTTTTTTCGAAAACATTAATAGAATTTAATGCATTCCAAATGCGCACATTTTGTATATAACAGCTTTGCTCTACTATTTGTGTCTAGTTGCACAGAGATGCTCTTTAGTCAACATATTCTCTGTTTAAATTTTCACGAAATCACATTATACTTTCAATTGTACAGAGGTAACAACATTCCTAATTCTTAATTTTCACCGTAAATGTGAGAACATATAATAACGGTTATTTAGAATAATGTCGTTTAGAATTTGTCTTCAGTACTGTAGATTTTCTGTGTACAGTATTCTAATTAACAAAGCAATAATACTTCTCGTATTATCTACAAACCGAATAGCAGGAAATGCCTAAAGGGAAAATTTTAAGTATTATACAAGTAAGAATATGCTTTGTAGAGATTTCGGACGATATTATTCTGAATAATTGTTATTTTACTTTCTCACATTTATGCTGAAGATAAAGAATTCTGAAATGTTCTTATCTCTGTACAGTTGAATTCATAATGAGATTTTGTTGAAAGTTAAGCAAAGAATATGCAGACCACAGTGCATCTCTATGCATCTAGAGAAAAACAGTGGAGTAAAGTTATTATATAAAAAATGTGAGCATTTGGACAATATTAAATATTATCAATTTTTTCCGAAAAAAAAAAGTTGGCCATTTTTCGATAATAAAAATTCTGATGTTAAAAAAGTTGTACAAGTGAAACAAACTACATAGGAAATAAGGCTCAATGTTTTTAAGACCAATTTTATATAAAAAGCGACATGTTTGCCAGCTTGAGTTTGGTATGAAAAAAATTTGGGTAAAAAAGTTTTAGTCCATAGACGCTCAACATTTCAAATTTTTTAGGTATAATGAGCGGTTTTTGATTGAAATGACTTTTTAAGTACTTTTCTGCATAAATGTGACGAAACTGGACAGAAAAACGGATAAAAAAGGTAGGAAAAAAACATGATTTTTTGTGAGTTTTTGGAAATAACCGTAAAAGATACATAAAAATCGACTAAAACTCGTTATTTTTTTCTTCAAAAAACATGAAAGACTCATATGTCTATCTGTCTGAATATTCTTTGTGACGTAATAAAAAAATTGTGGCTCAATTATGTCAGAAAACATTACATAAAGTTGTTTTCAAATATCAACGAGTGTGTTTAGTGTATTCAGCTACATATACTGCTAGAGATGCACCTATCTCAATTCCAGTTTTTGGCTTAAAACCGGTTGGAATTAGAATTCGTCGGCATCAATTAGCATTGGTCTTGAAAAATTTGGGATTAATTTATGTATATATATATATATATATAATTAGTAATTCTACAATAATCAATTCCAATCAAGGCGAAAAATTCGAATATCTGAATGCTTACATAGTAATTCATTTTGATAGTGAATACTTACTGATAATAATTATAGTAAATATGTGTATTGCTTTTTTTTTAATTTTCATGCCTTTCTTCTTAGACATCGTTTGACAACGGTAAGACAAAGATGCTTATCAACAATTGAGAGACTGTTGCATTATAGTATAGTAAAATGTTTTGTTTGTTTCGTTTCACTTTTATTCTCGCCATCATTTATGCTTGTAAGTCAAAGTGATGTTAGTAATCTTTATTCGCACACTTTTTCTTTAATATTTGTAGCTACTTCATTAATAGACAGTTTTAACATAAAATGTTACACTTGTTATGAAGAATCATGTCCAAAGCCATGGAATCCAAACAATATCGAACAAGTATCATCACCGAGTGGTTGGTGCCTTGTAAACATTTCATATAGAATTTAATATTATATTTTATACTAAATCGGTTCTTCTATTCAGACATTTAGTAAAGATAATCAAACTAGTGAGTCCATATATGCTCGAAATTGGGCGTTATCTGGCACATGTACAGAAAGTAAATGTGAATGGCGTACAAATTCCACTGGCAACTCATTTTATTTCTGTTGTTGCAATACTGATCTTTGTAATGGATCAGATAGAGAAATAACAACAACACCTACTAATGGACAGATACAATTTATTAGCAATATTTATTTTGTCTTCATAGGGTTTTTTACAGCCTTCATAATGACAAAATCGTAAATCGAATGGGTAAAATTAGACTTTTACTTCATGTTTTGATTTTTTTGTTAATTCATAAATTTATTTTCAATCAACAATAAATACATATAAATTGGTTGTATTTATTTAAATCTTATATTTGAAAATGAAATTCACTCCTTATTTTCATTGAATTAGTGAAATCTTAACTATTCATGCAAAATTCACTATTTATCAGTATTGACATAGAAGTTTCACCATTTTTGTATCAAAAATATACATCTTATCTTCTATGACGAAGACAATGAGAAAAAAATACAATTTGTCGTTTGTAGAATGAATCTAACATAAATATGGTTACATCTTGAAACTAATTATTGCAGATAAGAATTATTTCAATGACAAAACCTTATAATATCAATCAATCTTTGTTTTAGATTCGAATAGAACAGTGCCATGACGTTAATGCATATTCTGCAGAATATAAATATTTGCATAGTGAAAAGAAATTGTCACGATAAACTAATAAGCAAGTAAAATTCTCCACAAGAGAAATGTTGCAATGTACTTTAAAGTTTATCATTAATTAGAAATAAATGTCCAACTTAATTATGTTCTACTTATAAGTATTTCTTTTAAACCTGTTCATTGCTCTCATTTCAATAATCTCTAAAGTATTACAAATTATATTGAAAATTATAAACGACCAATGAATATTCTCGTTGCATATGTCTCATTAATATACTTTGACATTTAATTGAATTATTTTCTTTCAATTGATCAACAAATTGAACTTTATAGAAATTATTTTTAAATAAATCTTTCTCAACAATCAAATGAAATAGTTTTATATTAATTTGATGTTGATATTAAAATTTTAATATCCGATAGTTTATGGCATTTATGTATAAAGGATGAACGTTTACAAATTCTTAAAACATTTTCTACTTATTTGGTAGAATGAAAGAAAAAATGTATTTATGATTGAAAATTAAATATTGAATTTTCAAAAAGAATATCAATATAATATTAAGTATAAAAAAAAAAAGCAAAAAAAAAATCGTTTTTGTTTGTAACCTAATGTCAATATGATATAGAATAAGCAAGAATGACAAATGCAGATCAGCATCTTATGAAACAATTAAACAAGATGAAAAACTTGAAGAATGTATGAATATGTCAATAAAGTTTCAACAAAATATAAGATACAATTTCACGTTATTGACATGGAAAATCAGATGAAACTTGATATTTTAACCAATCATATATATTTTCTTATTTTTTTGTTTTGAGGTGTTCATCGCTATAATCAAGACTGATCCTTCCACTGGTAAAAAAGAAACTTTTCTTTTTAGTTTTGTTTTGTATGTTTTTTCTTTCCTCGAATAAAAGCATAATGTATACACTTTTATATCCAAGGCAAACAGATATCACTGAATTGATGTATATATATTTGGGCAATACCGACCAAAATGCGGAATGACCATCTTTCAAATGAGAAAGAAGGGAAGCATACTTTTGTACTTCTGAAGTACTGAACGTAGAGAATTACGAAGAAATTCCAAGAAGTTTTGAAAAGTATTAATATCTAAGAAGTGACAACGAGTAAATAGAAAGCTGAATTATTTTTTTTTATATTGATAATTGTCGTTAATCTTCATTTTGAACTATGAATTTTTTGAATTAAATGACTCTTATTAATGATGTTGATGACAGGAAAGTTTTTTTTTTATGAAGTCACATTTTCCCCATCAATTTCATCGTTGACCTCCAATTAGCGTTAATTAGTTTCACTTTTTAAAAAGGTTAATGGATATTATTGGAAAAAAAGAGTGATTACATTTGCTCTTATTATCTCTTAGCAATAAGAGTTGCATAAAAGTATAGAAACTTCTTTAAAAAAATGTCATATTATGGAAAAGTACGAAGAAGCAAAAGAAGTACAGAAGTATGCGTTTACCTCATTGCTCAATGGCCTGAATATTTATCTGAATCCGTTTTGATTTTACGCGTCATATCCTTCACAAAAAAAATTATGAATATTATTTTAAAAATAATGGTTTCATAATTGAGAAAATTGATTTTTTCAATATGAATGTAAAACACCATCAATACGGGTTCGTATTCAGAATAAGCAGAATAAATTACACCAAATAGTACACTCAATATTTAAAACAGGCATATACAACAAAGTCGATGAGGATGTCATTTAAATCAATATCTACATCCATAATTACTCTTACCGAAACGTACAACCTCAAATACATGAGATTGAAATCATGATGGTGTGTTATTGACGTTAAATTGGACCCGTCTATGTGGGAGCATTCGTGTGAATGCTCTAAGTGTGGAGGTCTCTGAGAAGTGAAAATGAAAAGTAAAGTCTTATCATTCCACCTACACCCACATCCTCACAGTGCTTTGTGTCAGACACATGTGAAGAGTATATATGATTTGACGACAACTCAATACTCGTTGTTTAGTTTCAAACGATACAACGATATCTCTTCGAGAAAAGTAACGAAATTCTTTTCTCATCAAGAAACTGTTGAAAAACCTACAAGTAATAAGACTGGTGACGACTTTGTTACCGTAGCCAGCAATTGTATAATAAAATATAGATTCGTCCAACTTTTCATTATGAAACTGTTTTGAACTGCACTTAATCTTATACAGGAGACAAGATCCACTTATCTGATGGTAAAACCTGTATTTTCTACAATACATTCGTACACGTTAATGCCCATCACGAGTATCTCAGTTCAGTTGATCAAAACTATTCTTATTCATGTTCAAGAACCCACAAATCGATTTCTAATCAGTGAAATGACTCTTCTAGCACTAAGTATGTAGTAACAACTTGAAATAAATCTGTAAAATTAAATAACTTTCTGATGGAATATTGAATACGCGAAGTTTTAGACAAAGTAACGAGCATTCGGGTTGTTCTCATGATCGATCAGTGGATTCCACTGACTTCCAGTAAAGTATTTGAGAAGAATCTGAAAGAAGGACAATTATGCAACTTTTTCGTGATGCTCGAATGAACAATAACAATAAAACAACGACGTTTTATATATAGTTTTTCCGACAACGAAAAGGTTTAACAAAGAGAATGTAGCATCAAATATCTCGAGACGAATTAAAACTTGACTGAAGAAGTTGCAAATACTATCATCAAACTACAAAATGTGGTTCATAATCAATCAAATTCTTCTGCTTTCAAACCGACAGTTTCATCTGCATAATCAAATGAGGTTTACATTATACAACAACATTCAACACTTTCGAACGTTATAGAAGTCTCCTTTTCTTTCGATGAGTATAGTTGTTCAGATTGTAAAATAATAAGAATGCATTCACTTCTTATAATCATCGCCGACGAACATTCTGTTTCGCACATTTTTTTAATTTCTTAGTGTTTTTATTGGTTCTACGCTTGATGTAGCTATTTCTGAAAATATAGTGAATCAAATAAATAAAAAAAGATAGGCGATCATAATCTCGAAACATGAGAATCTCAAGGTTCAAACTTCAGAGTATATAAAATAGTTTTCTCACAGAACATACTTCAATTCTTTAAACTACTATGACATGTAAATAATTCATCCATACAAATAAAAAATAATATCGAAATATGAGAAAGTAACAAGTTCCTTAAACATTTTCGGTCTACTATAAGCGAATGAGTAGTCAAAAGTGTCACAATCAATTGTTAAACTTGATCATCTCTGAGAATATTATGTTAAAAATTCCGATATTGTGGATCTTAATTATCTTTCGCATATAACACAAATTGACTTTTTTCACTTGAAGTTTCATTGGGAAAAAGAGGACATAACACTAGAATCAGCTTATTGAGCTCTATGAACAGACATATACGGTGCTCTAAATAACGACTCACTCTTAGAGCTTTTTTCTTATGAGGTTTTATAACAATAATACAAAAGATGTTTCATTGATAGTGCTGATGTTTAATAATAGATTGAGTTTCTGTTGATTATATTTATGTTATGTCATAAAATTCTTGAGTAATTTATTATCACGTATCAGTACAAAAAATGAATACAATAATGAGGCATATTTTTTTTATCAAGAAAAGTGATTAAGAGAAATAAACCTAAATAATCTGATAAATGATGGAAAACTTTGTAATTGTTCATTAAAATATTAAAGTAATTTCCTATCTGATGATAGTTAATGATTTTGTGATCAAACTAATCATGTTTATTTGTATATTATTCATTCAATTTGTGATACTTTTGATCCACGTCTTGTAAAATGCTACACGAGTATACACATTGGGCGAATTTGTAGATCCAATTGTGTTACAGATTTTCCCATAACTGGTTACACCTGATACTACATATTGTCCTTTGTATTGAGCTAGAATAGGTCCACCACTATCGCCTTGACATGCCGAACTACCATCGACAGAATTGGCGACACATATTTGTTTCGAACTGTCTACTGATGGCCACCAGGAATCACATTTATCGACCAATTTTGTATAAGCTTGCTTGAGTGTGTCATGGGCTGATCCAGAGTACTCTTGAGCACCCCATCCAGTAATAACCACTTGATCGTTTGGTTTTGGTTCGCCGCCGGGCAAACATGCCGGTTGAACATATGTAGTGAATGTGAACGGTGTGCTCACACGTATCACAGCAATATCGTTCCAGTTGGTTACGTTATTGTATTGAGGATGAACATAGATCGCTTGAGCAGTACGAACTTGTCGTCTGGTTGTCTCCGTAGTAGATGTTCGATTATGCATACCCGCGATCAAAGTAATATTTAATGGATTTTTTGTGCTAATGCAGTGAGCAGCAGTAATTATGTGATTTGCATTGATTAAAGTAGCACCGCATATACCGTAGCATATATTGGAATCACACTTTTTGCTTTCTTCATAGTAGACCATCTACGTAGTGGAGAAACAAAACTATAGAAAAAATACAATTATTTTTCAATACTCACCCAGGGCCATGAATTTGGAATAGCATCTGTTCCACCAAAAATACGACTCGATGTGCTTGATCGTGGTGTAATTTGTTGTTTTCCACAAGTGAGATTATCCAAAGGCGAAGGAGTTGTCGTTGTTGTTGTCGTTCCAACAAATGAGTTTATTGGGCAACAGTATCGAACCTGAAAATCGACACCACCAGGTGAAGACGAATAGAATGAAAGAAGATAGACTATGGCACTTGGTTGTCTCCATTGCCATTGATATGACACACCACCTGTCTGATAGTTAATTGATTGTGCTTGAATAGCAGAAGGGAAGGTACACAGCCTTGTTGGATTTTGTGCCAGTATTATACTCGTATCTTCGCTATCGCCACTGGTGGCATTCTGCGGTTTTCCTACATTGAACCACATTGTCCAGCCATTGTTACCCGAGCAAGTTTCTTCGGTGACATCTGATGGATAGAATAGATTCACGGCTCCTTGAACATTGTATAGTAGTGCACAAGCAATGAAGATAAGTGATACAAACATTTTAGTTGGTACGATGATGACTTTGTGTACAGAAAAATTAAATAGTACTCATATATTGCAGCTGTCTTTTATACATAAGAGTAAGCGATGCAAAAAAATCAATTTAAATTTCGTCACTGTGATTAGTCATTAATATCAAATCAACGTAAAAAAACAAGGTGGGCATATATCTTGATTGTGTACTTCCTTTTCATCATTATTTAACAGCCATATTGCAGGTAAGACATGAAAAAATTTTTTTTTTTTACTCATTTTATTTTATCAGATGTTTTGACAAACCGAAACAAACACGTGCTTATCATTTAGAATCGCTAAATAATTTGATTCGTATCTTTATATAATTTGAAAAAACCAAATGCCCAGAAAAACGTCATGCAATTATCATTTTTTAATGAATTAATAGGTCATATATCAATCACTCAAGTGAAAAACTAAAATAAATGTCAAATAAATAAAAAAAAGTAGACACAGGTAAATACTATGTATTTATTATTTCTTAGTGAACTGATGTGTTGTGCTTCAATCACTCAAACTAAAAACTAATGTAAATACGCAGTAAATAAATAAATAATATTGAGGATAGATTTACAAAGATGTAAAGATTGTTTTCGTGTCGTGGTACAGTCAATGTTCCTAATTCGAATAGCTTTTTTAGAAGTGTCAATATTTTTCTTTTTTTCTAAGCCATTTTTTATAAACTTAAATTTTTTTACATTTCTGAATACATAAATGTTTACTGAATCGAATGATGTAAAAATTATGCAATTAGCTTGTAAACTAAAAGCGTAATTAGCGATATTTTGCGATTAATTGAATTTGTTCTTATTAGAAGTTTTGTTTCTAATTAGAACAATAAGCTAAAAAATGTTCCTAATAAGAACAGACTGTGCCAAATACATCGAAAATAAAATATTTTTTGATAAATGCATTTTTTTTTCTGTCTGCACTTGAAAATTTTATTGTAGTTTTATCACAAAAAAAATTTCTTGATTGATGGTTCATTAACTTTCAGTAGTTCAAGACAAACGAAGTTTTCATGTGGTGTACTTAATGCTATCAACGTTACTGTTCGATTATGATTTGTTATGGCAGCTTTAATAGAATTTTTAAATTGATTTCGGTCTGATGTATTCAACACTAGCATTTTTGGGCCTTTTGATATTTAAAATAATTATATAAAACTGTTTTGCTTGTGATTAACTATTGTTAAAATAAAGATATGTGAATAATTCATTAATATCCATTGAATATGTTAATATTTTATAAAAATCACAGTATCATTTTACAGGCGTTTCAGCATGAGTATTTATACTAACATGTTTGATCTCTCCAATAATTCAAATCATTTACTTTAGATCTCAAAGAAAAAAAGATTTGAAATATGACTCCCCAAGACATTCCCAATAGTAAAAGAGATGGATATTTTGTTTAGATAAGATACAATTATAACAACGTTGAATTGAAATAAATTTATAATCCATTAAGACTTTCATTATTTTCGAATTATATGATCTTATTAAAAAAACGCCGGTTCAGACGGCTTAGTATTTTTAGATCAGTTTTTGGTTCTTTTTTCTATTAGTTTGATTTTGATTGTCGTGCAATATCGATTTCATCACAAAAAAGATAATTTTTGTAGGTTAGAGTTTGTTTCGTTAAATGACGCTGCGATTATTTCTATTGACTTTATCCTTCGATGAATCTATAGTTTTGTGGTGTTATCCATACTAAACAATCAAACGTGTAAGGTAAGCCAAAACATTCGATATGGCTAGAACAGGTGACTCGTGCGCATTCACAACTAATGAGAAGCATGAGTCCAACTAAGATCTGACATTTTTCTAATAGTCAAAAAAATTCAAACAGAAGAATCGTGATTAATCGATCATTTTCAACCAGTATCGAGATATAAGTATATTAATTTAATTTGATTCGTGTGAACTATAGCATCTTAATCGATATAGAATGTATGATGAATACGATTGACGTGCTCATCATAGACAAATATAAACAAATTATACAACTCATAACTTTACTAAGAATTCAATTCGTTTTCTTCAATAATTCTTTGTTAAAGCTTTTTGTTTTCTTTTCGTATGTTTGTAACAATACTAAATAACATCTTAAAAAGATAAACAAAAGAGAATATGAAGTGAACAAAGAAGGAAGAAGAAAAAGAAGGTGAAAATGAAGAAGTAAAATCGATTCCTATCAGACATCTATTTCATCTTGCTCGTTTTATGACTTGGACTGCCAGAGATCTAATTCCATCAAAATTAGGCCATTTGATGCATTCCACACTGTACACAAGTCGATTCAGAGTATGAATGTCTATGGGTATGTGTGAGTGTTAGTGTGGATGATGAGAAGACCTACACCCATATCCGCACTCCCGCTCTTCAAAGATTGAAAAGAATAGTGCACAACTTCTGACAACCCAACAATAAAATATACGATTAATATTACCAGCATATCTGTATTTTTCCCTTTCTCATGAATCGCTCTTGATAAAGATAAATATTTATATCAATTTAAAATCAGCATTTCATCGATCCGAAAGCACTAGGTTCGTTTATCAAATAAATCGCCATGCACTTGAGTGCTGTATTATAACTTATTATCTTCTGAAGCATTTGCGCTCGTTTAAGAGCAAATAATATGCGAAGTTCGATGGATTCATGAAAAATCATATAGGTACTGGAATTTTGAAATATATCTTTTCTCTTTCTTTTTCTACATTATTCTTTCAACGCTTTTATGTATGCATGGATAAATACATACATTGGTGGTTGCTCACATATTCAAAAATATTCTGAAATATGTATGCTTCAAATAATTGACAAGATGTCATAGTTTATCGAAGAGTATTTAATGTAATGTTTATTACGTTGTGTCGAATACTTTTTTCTTCTATCCAACAAAAGCGGTACTATCGATTTAACTATAAACATCCAGATTTTGACGGCTTTCTCAAATTAATATAAATACGTAGTTGTAAGAAGTGTTCTATCATGAAAGTGTATTTTCTTCTCTCTACAATGTAAGTTAATTTCTTAATCGATCCGGTGTCGTCAAATGATTTGTCATTTCTCTCTTAGAGTGTTATCGAGTGTCGGTCTGTGTTATAATAGAAATTATGGAATCTAAACTTCTGTTATTTTTATCATTTTTATTTTCTTCTATCTTTAGTGTTGGCGGACATTAATGACAGCTCAATAGTAACCCAAAGTTCCTGTGATCCATCGGTGAATAATGGTGAATGTTCCACTAATAGTCTGTGTCGATGTGTTTCGCTGACAACAGGAGAAAAAGTTTGTTCACTGCAAATGTCATGTATTCATGCGACACCCTGTAATTCTCAAGACATATGTCACAAAACGGGCTCAGTCTGTGTTTTGGATGACCGATGCCCCGATCAACGCTTGTGCTATGCAGCCACAATAACCAGTGCGAGTTTTTGTCCACCTCTATCGCCCAGTGTTTGAAATTGAATGACAACGATAAACAAGTCGTTTTTAACTTAAATGTATTTCTTCTAAAAATTCGATTCGAAATTCTTTTTTTATTGAATTCTATAAATAAACGTGATAAATGTATCAGTGCGATCCAATGGTGAAATCTAACACGATTGAATAATGAAACAAATCGAAAAGCCATCTAGATGTTCGATCCAAAAATCAAATTCGTTGATTTCAGACTTTTGATGAGCATTAATGATGGAATCGGATGGATTTAAGGAAAATGAGAAGCGATAATGCTTCCTTTTAAGTAATCAGAAAGATAACATGAAATATTTTATTTGAATCACAAAATTAATTAGCCTAAAAAGTAAGCTGAATAGAGAAATGGCATTTATAATGCATCTCTTTTTGAGACGTCACGATTTTCTCTTTCAAACAAACGCACTACTTAGACTACTTTATTTCTATTTCTTTTGACACAGTTTTGTGACAAAATGGATTGCGTATTTTGGTTAAATCCCAATGATATTTAAAGAAGGTTTAGACGATTATGGCATACCTTAACATGGACGCTTGTCATTAGTTGAGGAGCAATACTGACTGATTGAGCAAATTTTTACCTAGAACGAATGAAGTCTTGACTGGTGTTTATACTTGAATTTGTATCACAACTAAAAGTGCATTAATTTATAGTACTTGATGTTGTCATACATTGAAAAGACGAGAGATATAAAAGGATCATGAATCAATATGTGTCGAAATTGACTTGGTAATTTTTTTTCTTTTCACACTCGTTAGGAAAATAAAGTTTGATGGCATATACAGAATCATATAGACAATCTTTCTGAGATATTCACATCATGATCAAAGAGGTCATGCAATTCGGCGGTGTCCTTGACTGGCTCTATTGGATTCGACTAGTTCCTACTCAAATCTAGCTCGTTACTGACTATGAGCTACCTTGTACACGAATAGTAATAATTTAAAATATTGAGTCAACATGCTGTAGTCCAATCTGTTCGAACTATTTTATGCAATTGAATTACTTCGTACTTTTGATGATTGTAACTCGTGCGTCAATACTTCGGTCTTTATTCACAAATTTTCTAATAAGAACTAGTGCTCACCAGATATTCTACTAATTGAATATTATGATCGAACTACATTGTGGCTAATTAAGTTACGTTCTGACATCGTATTAACCAGACCTATATACTACTGCAAGATATATTCACAATGATCAATAGTATTTGTTCAAGAAAGCATTGTTTTATCGTGTTGATTTAAGCACATGTTCCATCAATCTAAGATCAAATAAAGTAATATATGAAAATGCTACTTGTAACTAAACCGAACAGTCAATATAGCTTATGTTATTCTTTTGTGCTGTCATTTTTCTTAGGCAAGATTTTTAGCATTAATAATACAGATGATTGGAGAAATTTTCAAATATTTTTTATTTATTTTGTTTTTAAGCCTACTAGATTTTGTTAAATAATAATCAACTGAAAGTATAATTTATGTCGATGATCAAAGACT